CGGGGCTGCCCCGCGGGCTGCAGCGCTGTAGTAGTACGGGGACCCTGCAAGAGAGAGATGACCGTGAGGGAGACAAAGGTGGAAAGGTGCCAGATCCAGCTCACAGCAATAAAGGCCCGGTAATTAGAATAAAAATCGCATTCGTGCATTCTGCGTGAGAACGGCTCTGCCGTTGCTTTGTGTTTCTGCCGGCTGCAGGGTACCTGGTCCCCTTCCTCCACTCAGAATGTTAGTTTCATTTACTCCACCAAAAAAGAGAACTACTTTTCAGAATTATTGCAGTGGGACAAGAAGTAATGGCTTTAAACTAAGGGAGGGGAGATTTAAACTGGATACAAGGAAGAAATATTTTAAAATGAGGGTGGTGAGACCTGGCACAGGTTGCCTAGAGAGGTGGTGGAGGCCCATATCTAGAAACGTTCAACGCCAGTTTGGACGGGGTTCTGAGCAGCCTGGTCTAGTTGAAGATGTCCCTGCTTGTTGCTGGGGGGTTGGGCTAGATGGCCTCTAAATATCCCTTCCAATCCAAACCATCCTGTGATTCTATGATTACATGGTTCTATAATTCTGCAGTTCTATGGAACATCAAAATTCTCCAGCCCCAATACATCACCACACTCTTGACTTCTCTATTTTTCCCCTTCTTTTGGGAGGAGGAAGAGCACCAAAGCATTCAACGTATTTCAATGGACTCAACAACAACTCCCCTTTTCCTCAAACTATTTCTATCAGTGAATAAACCCCCAGATTTTGCTTAGCTCTGGCAGTGACCTTGAAGTTCCAGAAAGAAACACCAAATTTGTGCTACCAGATCTGCTTTGGGATCACGGCACTGCGCCGGCCTCTGTGCCAGGGAGAGTCCTTTGGCATCCAAAACGTTTGCTGAAGGGACAAACTCTCTTGAGAAGATGTTGGTGACTTTCACTTGGTAACAGATTTGAACTCAGAAAGTAGTTCACAACTACCTACAGCAAGTGATGTCTCGTCCAATGAAGTATCCAATACTCCACACCACAGCATTTGAGATGGACACTTAAGCCTCAAACTGATCACATTTATGCTTTATTTTTTGATTGAGTGCACGCGTTGCACACCTGAATGAACTATGCAGGCGAGGCTTAAAGCTTTGAAGACAGCGGAATGCCAAGGCACCCACCTACCAAGACAAGGCCTGAAAGATATGGGCAGTGACTTTTCTGCCCTGCAGGGCTCAATGCTGGTAGATTGGGTATCACCAAAGGATCATGGTCTTAGGGGAGTGTCAGGGGAGGTTTAGATTGGATATAAGGAAAAGTATCTTTACAGAAAGAGTGGTCAGGCATTGGAATAGGCTGCCCAGCGCAGTGGTGGAGTCACCAATCCTGGAGGTGTTCAAAAAGCATGTAGATGCGGCACATCAGGACATGGTTTAGTAGACACGGTGCTGATGCATTGACGGTTGGACTTGACGATCTTAGAGGTCTTTTCCAACCTTAATGATTCTATGATCATCTGGAACCTGGACTGTTTGCTTGGATGAGGAAGAGTCTTTGCCTTCAGAAGTATCTTGAGACATACCAGTCTGTCCAGACAGCACCAGCTATTAAATACCTTCCAAAAGCACTGGAGAGGAAACCAGCTCTGATTCAGTGTAAGGGAAGAATTGGGCCAAAAGTTTTTCAAGGCACTACCAGTTTAGTCTCCAAGTCACCAGCAGTTTCACATGCATGAGACTCAAGACACGCTGCAGTGTGGAAGAAGCCCCTTGGAAGGACTTGCGCTCAGACACACGTGTCTGAGAACCCCAGGCAGGCTTGGACAAGTGACAAAGAGCCAACAAGAGGAACGGCTCTGGAGCTGGCTGGGCTGTGGGGTCTGGTCTCACGAGTGACTCCATCCAAGAGCCGCCAGCCACCTTCAACTCCTTGCCTCAACCCAACTTGGGACAGTGGCCCAGCACACATGGCTGAGGGTCTTCACGGCGAAGGACATGACTTGTCACTGAGCAAGTAACTTCTGCAGCTTCATCAAGACAAAGGAGTGGGCCCCTCTAGGAGAAGCTGGTGCCACCAGACCTCAGTGGGGCCTGTGGACCCCTCAGCAAAGTGTCAGCTGCAGCAAAGCCAAAGGTACGGTTTCGGCCATACGCTTCCCACCCCAGACTCCAGCAAACCCTGCTCCAGCAGGTCCAACAGCTGCCCAGCATCCAGGCATGGGCCAAGCACAGCAATAGTCCGGCTGCTCCACCACCATGGCCCCAGCACACCTTCTGGAACGGGAAGAAGAACCCATCTGGCATGCCTTGTGCCGCTGGTCGTCTGCTCTCTGCTGAGATAAGGAGCTGGAGAACCTCCTGGCCTCCCCTCCTCTTGCGTGGCCTCCAGCTGAAGCCTCCGTTGTGCAACCCTAAACAACTTGAGTGATTACTCAAGGGCTGCTGCTTCCACAGCCTCAGCACAGAGTGAGAATCGCACTGCCAGCCTCTAAGAGGAAGCCCACGGACGTCTAAAGCTGACCGTCAGCTCAGGATGGTGGTATAATCGCAAATGAAGGGCTTTCTCTATTTTCTCCCCAAACCAGCCTCAGTGAGCTGCCTGGGGTGGTTTCCAGGGCTGGTGAAATACACTGTGCTGCCCAAGAAGACATCCCAACAAGACAGCCCCACCAGTGGAAACATCTCCTGAAAGGACAGGCTATTCCGCCTCACCTTGCTGCTGTGGACCCACCAGCATCCATTTCACAGGCAAGCCCACCTGCTTCTTCTAGGCTGCTTCCATCCCAAGTGCCACATCAGGAAATCAGCTCCATCACCAGCCTCCTGTTGCTCATTTCCAAGGCAACACAAGCCAACGCATCCAAAACACGGAGCTCAGCCAGCACCTCCTACCGCACAGTACGGGCAATGCACTCCCTGGTGCAGCCATGAAGAAGGAACTTCCTTCTCATGATCAGAGTCCTACAACAGCATGTGATACCCTGCAACCCCGATGGGTCAGAAATGATGGAGTTTGGCTACAGGAACTTGCCTTCTGCATCAATCAGTGCTGCAGCAGAACGTGAGCTTGTCCATGGGAGGGTCTGTGTTGGCCTCAGCACCATCCCCAGCGTCACAGATATCCCAAATTCAATACCGTGCAAACCCGCTGCAAAGGGCTTGGTTTAGAGAAGATAAACCAAGCTTCAGGGCTGTGGTCCCAGCTGTCTAGAAGGGTAGTCTCACCATACACAAGAGTAATTCAAGACAGTCTGTGAAATCACTGGCCAGGCTAAACATTTGCATAGATGATTGCAGAACTTCTAGGCAAAGACAAGTATTTTAAATCATAATCAATGGAGGCAAAGCAGATGCCTTCAGAGGGTCATTGTCCCATTTACACTTCCATAAATGCAGTGCTGACAGCCTTGTGTTGTCCGCTGAAGGCACCGAAACCGCTGTCCCGGGCTGGATGGGCGCTCCTCTTCCAGATAACTGACACCAAGTTAACACGCCCCAGCCTCAGGAACCGTGGAACACTGGAAACCTTCACCGGAAGAGCCAATCCCATCCTCCTAGGTAGCCTAAAATAAACTGCTGCACGTTGTGTATCCCAGCCAAACCCTAGCAATTAAAATCACGGCAGGCGGTGAGCCAAGGCAGAGCGAGCAGCCCACCAGACACGCAGCGCGCGCGCGCTGTCCAGCTGGGGTTTGCGGGACGTGGGGCTGCGTGGCTCCCAGCCTGACCAACAGCTGAAATCCCGGTCCCTGCCAGCACCGGCACCGACACCGAGCCACAGAAGCTCAGCTCAGTCCAGGGAAGGGGTCCAGGGGCACCAAACAATTTCACCCCGACCCACGGAGCAAGGCGTGTGTCCCACCGGAGCCAGATGCAGCACTCCCTGAGGTTTTGGGGTGAATGGAGTCTGTTTGGCATCAGGGCCTTCATTTTCCCCCTCCATCTTCCTCCGCTGCTGCTCCGGTTCAATGCGGCTACCAAAGCCCAATATTTCTCTCTTGCTTTCCAAAGGCTTTACACTTCCCTCAAGTTTGATTTTTACAGTTCGCCTTTCAGCAGGGAAATCAAAAAAGCTTGTATTTGAAGTGAAAAATGAAAACATCACATCACAAAGCATTCGTTCTTTCTCCCTGTCACCATGCCCCCATCCAAAACAGACTTCTCCGTCCTTCTGTCATTTTTCCTTTCTAATTCACACCACCATCAATTTATTTCTTGACACAGTAATTTCTGGTGCCTACTTGTTCTCTCATCTTTTCACAGAAACCCTCAGAAGAACTGAATCTGATCTCAATTGACCGGCTCCAAGCCCTGCCCTAGCATGACGCGGTGCAGGCAAACCGTCCCCGCAGCGCGCAGGGACCGTGTGTAATCGATGGCCTTGCTGGACTTGTCGAATGCAAGACAAAAGACAAACGGACTGAGGCATCAAGAGCTGAAGAGCTAACAAAAGAAGTAAATAACTGGTGCTTATCTTATCAGACAAAAGTAAGGGGGGATAGCCCATCACTGTAAACTCAGTGATCTGTGGGGCACCGTGGAGGCTGCACAGCCAGAGATTGCTTCAGAGATTGCTTTGGATAAAGCACAGATGGCCCCCGAATGCACATACCAAGATGCCCGCTCCGAAGGCGTCACACTGCTGCGTCCCACTTCTGACAACACCACATTCCATGCCAAGAGCCAATCGATACACAATAATTGACTGAGTCCCGCCTCGCAAAAAGATTTCCAAACATATAAAAATTGGCACTTGAAAACTCTCTTTGGGAGGAGGAGCCAAGCGAGAACTTCACCTGACGGACGGGTCGACGGGCCTGAACCTCTCTTCCGCCCCCCAAGAAGGGACACCTTTTTGGTAAGAGTCGCGCCTCTGACTTTGTCAGACGTA